TCATGGGCTATGCTCAAAGCTCCTGAGCTGGGGTCTAGTTTGAGTCTTTTGTTGGGCATATCAGGTAGGCTAAAGGCCAAAGATTCAGGGAAACTGAATAACAACCGAAAGAAATTTAAACTCAGAAGACAATGTCAAAGTCAGGTAAATGTGAATTTACAGAGATCATATATGGTATTAAAAAGTTCTGGAATTGGACAGAAATTCTAGTTTGGCCACTTATGAAGACCACTTCATTACAACTCATTTTTTAAAAATCTATAAAACAATGAAAATGCCATATTTCATAGAATCTAAGACGATGTCAACTAGAAGACCAATCCCCAATACAGACACTTTTAAAATGCTAAAAAAAAAAAAAAAAAAAAAAAAGGCCAAATGGGATGGTTAAATGCATCCCGACAACACAGGTGTTAAGAGTGTAAAAACTGCATCTCTTAGAGTCTATGACACATACAGTAATACCCGCTTTACAGGCGGGTCTCCTCCCTGTGAGGATTAAATGAGGTAACATAGGTCAAGTTCTCAGCCCAGCATGGAGTAAGTGCTCAATAAATTCTGGAGGCTGCTGTTCCTGCTGGTGCTGTCCTTGTAATTTGGAGCTGGCAACAAATAGTAACAAAAGGATATACTTGATCCAGGTCATCATTATCTAGCAAAACAACCTGGATGTCTTCTCCTTGCTCCAGGATAAGATACAAGAGGCAGTCATGCCGGAGGTAGCTCCAGAAGTAAACCTCCAGTGAGTTAAGTACAGAACATGCACAGGGCTGGCAAATAGCAAAAACAGTCCTGTTTATTCTGCCAATGGAGACCCAGATCTGAGAAGCGATTTTCCCAAATCCCAAATGTACAAGAGAAACATTTTTTTTAAAAGGGCATTGGTCAAATGGTGGTTTGGGGCGGGGGGGTCCTTTGAATTTGGAGTAGGGGAAAAAAACTTCCAGAATGTTTTGCTAGCTTTTCTAGATTTTTTTCCTTGTCTCTCACTAACAGCTTCTTCTATTACACTCCCTGTGATTTCTGAATTGAAAACCCGCTGTGCAGCCTCCTGTGATGTGAGTTTTCATTTAGGCCTGGAGGGGTCTGTGGAGGGATGACGAGGTGCCGAGAGGTGTCAGTCAAGCTCCTTCACCTGCCTGCAAGGCAGCTGTTTCTGGATGAGTCTGGAGTGGGCCTTAAGCCAGTGAACAGCCATTCATTGTCCTTTGTTGCCAAAGACAATGCTGCCAGTGGTACAACAGTGATGCAAAAAAAGGAACAAACAAACAAACAAACAAAAAACAAAACAAAAACGAATGCCAGGACTGTAGTAAGTGAAAACATGCCTGGCTTATGCCACTGCCTCTAAAGCAGTCTACTTCTTTTCCCAGTTTGGGCTCAGTGGCATTTTTAGAGACATGGATGGAAGCAGGGTGTCTATGAATGTGTGTAAAACCCCAGCCCATGGAAAGAAAAGCAGCCTAATGATCTTGTATATGGACAGGTAAATACAATAAAAATGGCTCTCAGACAGAAACAAAGACTCTATTATTTTCAGGGAGATTTTAAATTGGTAACTCCTTCCATTTCTTATTTCAACTTATTTCAACACCAGTATTGATGTAAATGGTATCTAGAGTAAAACAAGAAGGAGTTTGTGGCAAGAGTTTATCTCCCTAGTTGGGTTGGCTACTTTTAAGAAAAGGAAATTATATGGAACTTCTGACTGAATGATGATAAAATAGAAAAATTAGGTATTATACAGTCACTACTAAATTGATAGCCTTCAGGGAATTTTGAGAAAGAAGGCAACTCAAGAGGCAGCTATGGATCACAATGTCAGAGAAAAAACAAACTACCCAAGATAGTGGCAACCTGAACTTTAAACATGTGGGCTGACTGGTTTGCGTTTTGCAAATACAGCTTTTGCTTCTTCTCTGCAGGTCAATTGCATTGTGTGCCCCTCGGCATCCCAGTCTTGTCTCGGGGTCCAGAGGCAGGATGTGGCCCAGTTTGGGAGCAGAGCTGAGTCACCATCCCATGCAGACAGGGCACATTCATGGCATGCTCCTGCCTCCTCCTTCCTAGATTCACTAAAGGACTCTTTCAGGATTGCAAATTTCATTTGATTCCATTTCTCCCTAAGAAAAAAATGCACTCAGTAACATCCTAAATTTCCTAAACTAGTGTCCTTCAAGGTTGACTTGGAAATTTTAAATGTGTGTACAAGTTCTACCTTATACCTCCTTTGTCCTAACCTGGTGTCTGAGACGTCATGATGGCAGGCTACTCCTCGTGGCCAAGCACCATGAGGGGCTTATATCAGTAATGGGGCTGAGTCTCAATGACCCATTCACCTGGGCCACCTTGGATCAGAGCACAGTTTGAAAGGTAGGTGGCCAGGAGATGGGTCTCACTTTGTTATTTGCATAAAGTGAATAACTAACATTAGCTTTATAAGCATCACTGAATTAACTATGATCTTGGTAATAACGGAAGCATGAATCTCATTATCAGTGTGAACTCTACTTGTTATTTTCTGGAAAAAAAAAAAAAAGTTTACTTGCCCAGGTCTTCTCCTAGCATATCTGGACCCCTTGAGCATCAATTAAAAGCAGTCATCCTCTCTGGGCAGATCAGTTACAGTCCTCACTTGGTCAGCTCTTGGCTCTTGGGCAGGACACACCTGAACAGCTTTTAAGGCAGCCCCCAAACTGCCTAATCTTCAGAATGTGGCAAACTTGCTCCACCAACATACGTTATTGCACCAAAATTATGGGGAATTTGTAGTTATTTCCATTGTACTCAGATTGAAAAACTACATATATTAGTATAGTTAATTGGTGCCTTCCATCATTAGTCTATTTCATTAATGTTGGAACAGTTTTATTTTGATTTACAGAGTAAGATTTTTTTAAGAGCAAAACTTTATATTATTTCTTAGGGAGAAGCAGTTTATAAAAGATCTTTTCTCTTATCCCTCCAAGGATAAAAACAGACCACTGGGTCCTTGAGGTCAGAGGATGCTGACGAATTGGCCCCGGTCCACTGAAGTCTGCTTCCCCTTTCCCCTCCGCCTCCCCTTCAAAAGTAGACCATCACTGCCTGCTGTTTGGGACTGGGCTGCCCCTCAGCAGAGTGTCTGCCTTCCCACCTGAAGGAGATGAGCCTAGAATCAATTTCCTTATGGGTCTGGGTAACTGGGCCCTCTGAGAATCAGATAAGTTACAGATGGATAGTGTCTTCAGAAAAATACAAACACTCCTAATCCCCAGTTTTTCTTATGCAGTTTTAGGGTGTTCTGGAATCCAGGTCAAGAAAGGGGTTTGAAATCTTTTTTTTTTTTTTGTGCCAGGGATCTTCTGGCAGTCTGATGACCTGACCCTCTCAGGATAATAATCTGGTGCATAAAGTAAAATACATAGGCTTTTCTGAGAAACCAATTATATCGAAATAGTTATCAAAATTGTAAAACCTTTTGTGATACAGAAATATCTATGTACTTTTATATAAACGTATTAAATAAAAAGATCTAGTGGAGAGTCTAATAACCATTGTAATTTTGTACTGATGAGCACAAAAGATAATATTACAAAGTCTGCCCCTCTGTGATGTGACATGAAAGCCTCTGTGACTTCCACTGGGTTCGTCATGGAAGTGGTGCTAAGTTCAGTTAGAGGTTAGTAAGAATATAGGGGCATTTCTCTGCTATCAAGATCCTGAACCTTAGGTCAAGAACCCCTGGGACGCAAGGATTCTGTGTGGCTGCTGGGCATGGCTCTGGGTCTGGCTGCCTCAGCCCCTTCTGTCTCAGGCCACAGAGGGGACTGTGGGGCTCCTGACCCCTGACTGAGACAACCTGAGCCTATCGTGATTTTATATTCTGTTAGAAAAATTAAAGAGGATACTCACAGTGGGTTCTGTCCTGTCATCACATGTAGGGGGAGAAAAGGGGGTAGTAAGAGAGACCTAGCGGGCCAACTGTGAACCAGTCACTGCTGCCTTCTCCAGCACAGACGTGAGGCACAGGGATCCCCTCTGTGAAGCTGCCCTGGGCCTGGGAGACAGGTCTCTGTGGTGTCTTTCAGTTTGGGATGCAACAAACATTGTCCTCTTACTTTAAAAATGATTTGAGGTTGGGCATGGTGGCTCACACCTAAAATCCCAGCACTTTGGGAGGCCAAAGTGGGTGGATCACTTGAGGTCAGGAGTCTGAGACCAGCCTGGCCAATGTGGTCAAACCCTGACTCTACTAAAATTACAAAAGTTAGCCGGGCATGATGGCATGTACCTGTAACCCCAGCTACATGGGAGGCTGAGGCAGGAGAATCGCTTGAAACTGGGAGTGGAGGTTGCAGTGAGCTGAGATTGTACCACTGCACTCCAGCCTGGTCAACACAGTGAGACTCTGTCTCAAAAAAAAAAAAAAAAAAAAAAAAAAAAGAAAGAAAGAAAAAAAAGACTCAAGGCACATTTTACTGAGTTGCCTCTTGCCTTAATCTCACCTTTGCAGAGGTGCTCACCTAAGTGGGGAGCCCTCCATGGCAGCCTCCATCCTGGGAAAGCACAATGGCTTGTATTTGCTTCTTATTCTCCCACCGGCTTACTGAATGATGCTAAGATATCAACCTTTGCCAAAAATGCTAAGTATAAGCTTTGGGAGGTGTCAGAGCGTTTCACCAGACTTGAAATACGAAATGATGTCTCACTGTAACCGTGCAGTTATGACTAGCTGAGATACTGCTGAAAAGCACCAGGGAAAAGCAAGATTCTCTCATTGGGATGCTGGCGCTCAGGCCTGCCTGAGGATGAAAAGTTCAAGTGCTGGACAGAAGAAAGTACTTTTCCTGACGGGTGGTGGGAGGGATCACTCACTTCCTAGGGAAGGCCCTCAAAGCAGCTTCCTTGGCAGGGCTCTCTTGAAACTGGGCTTCGTGGCCATTTGGAGGCACATCGTGACCTGATTTTCACCAGGAAAATGGTTTCTGAAAGAGGCTCACAGAATATCATCTGCTTACCAATTTTACTTCTTGCTTCATTTATGCTTTCTCCCAGGGCCTTGGCTTCAGAAAATCTAGAGGGAAAAAAAATGAAAATTGTAGTTTTTCTGTTCATCCTACATGATGTTTTAAAAATAATAGATTTCTGAGAGCTCACTAAAATATGATGAAACCTTATTAAAAGACAAAAGAAAAGCTATAAATAAGTAAAATATATTAGGCTTAAAAACAGAGATGAAATTGCTATCAATTATAGGTATTGTTAATTTTTACTCTATCCAGCACAGAATTTGCGTTCTCATAGTCTCTCATTTAGGACTTTTAATTTAGATTGTTTTAAGATATAAGGATACCAGCATAAAGCCTGACTGTAAGATTTCTGTACTGTGATCTATTGGTTATGATACCAAGATCTTATAACTACAGAATATATACTTAAGTAACTTTTTTCTGATTATAAAGTAATGTATCAGAGGTGGTAAAACTATGGCTGGTTAAGAGACAAATCCAGCCTGCTGCCTGTTTCTGTAAATAAAGCTGTCCTGGAACACAGCCACCCTTATTCACTGATGCATTGTCTATGGCTACTTTCACGCGGCAAGACAGAGTCAAGTAGATATGACAAGACTGCATGGCCTACAGTGCTGGAAACATTTTCTACCTGGCCCTTTGTGGAAGAAGTTTGCTGATTCCTGTTATATATGATCATTAAACTTGATTTTGAAAATATAAAAACAAGAAAAAAATTCCCAAGTATTCTTCTACCCAGAAATAAGCACATTTGATACACATAGCCACCCAGTCTTTCATAGGGCCAGTTTTTATAGGGTTGGGATCATACTACAGATACGATTTTGGGCCCTGATTTTTTTTTCACTTAGCATGATAAGATAAGCCCTTCCCTGTATCATGAGACGCTTACCTTTGATGGCTGCATATTAGTGCACTAGATTGTTGTGCTAATGTTTAGTGAGTGATTCCTTTATGTTTCTGGCCTACGTTTATGAGACACCAACGATGAGCCAACTTTGTGCTAGAGAAGCCGATGGGACATGGCCTATGTGAGAAACACTTAGTTCAGTCCCTATTCATAGTGGGCCCTCATGAAATGTTAGTTGTTTCCCTCCTCTCCTTTCTGCCGTGAAGTTAAAGAGACCATTGAAAGCCTATGAAAGCAAGCACCTAATATATGGCTGAATTAAATGACTGTGCCTGGGGTAGTGCTAGTCATGCCATGAGAGTTTGACCGGGGAGTGGCCTCAGGAAAGCATCATGTATAAGGTGGGAGAGACCTGGGTTTTATGGATCCATGGGAATTTTTAGAAAATTTTTTATTATGAAAATTTCCAGATATACACAAAATAGAATAGTAGAATGAATGCTCACATACCCAGCATCACATTTTATTAATTGTCAATTTTGTTTCAACTATCTCCCTCCTTCCCTCTCATCTTCTCACTTCCCATTCTCTCATATCCCAGCAAATCCCAGATATCCTATTGTTTCATCTTTGAACACTCGAGTTGCCTAGAATTGTGTCAGAGGAAGTGAGCAGAGGTGGGCATTCCAGGCAGGGGAACAACATAAGCAAAGGCCAGAGTGCCATGACTGCTCTGTGTTCGATGGAAAAGAAGTGTGAATTATGTCATCGCTATTTTCCAAATCTGTCTGCTTGGCCTGGGACTGCAGACAGGAGGTTTCCAGGGAAGGGGACTAAACTTTCTGTCAGTGTCAGCTTCTTGGGATTCTGTCCCTGGCTCCCTTATTAAAGCTGTTCAGGCTCATTGTATGTCCTCTCCTCAGTGATGGCCTGCTGCCTTCTAGGGAGAAATACAGTTCCACCTGATGCAATTCAGACATTGACATGATGCAAAGGTCACTGTGCTGTGCTCTGTGGGCTCACATGGCCTCTGCTCCTGGGCAGGCATAAGGCGAGGTTTGCTGCAGGCCCTTCGGAAGATGAGGACCATCTTCAACTTTCCATTCTGTCAAGGGAGGGCCCACAACCATTTCATCACTGCTCTGTCCGTCCCCATTACCTAGGGTTGATAGGATCTGACAGTCACACACTGTTCAATGAATGACTCCTCCTATTTCCTGTTCCATAGAGTTCTGGAAGCTTTAGACTCTTTGGAATAAGGAAAGTACAAGAGTAAGGGTGCAAAACTGCTGAAATTCATATTAATGCTAGAGGAAACCAGAGTACAGATAGAAAGAGAAGATATAGCATGAGCAGAGGAGGGACTTTCCACCGTAGTGCTGCCTAGAGAAGCCCTGACAGGCCTGGGATAGAGTCCCCAAGCCTTGGTGGTGCCCAGATATGTCTGGGGGGCCTGGCAGAGGGAGCCGCTGAGTGCTGTGGTCAACTCTCTCCAAAGAGCCGCCCTGTTCCAGAGCTGGCAGAAACTGTGGGGAAAGCCACGAGCTGTTCCTGTCTCTCTGTTGCAGCCCAGTCCTGAGCTAAAAAGGGCTTTCCCACTGGAGAGGTGTGGTCTGAGGGCCATGCAGTCTTCATGAGACCATTTTCCCGTCTCTCTGGAAGCTGTCACCACTCCAAGCCACCCCACCCACATGTGTTCCTGATCTCTGGTTGTCAAGACAAACTCTGAAAGGCCCAACCCTGAGTGTGGAGAGGAAAAGAGCAAGTGTCAAGGATGGTGGGAGAGATGAGAAGGCTAAGGGCTCGCTTAGCAAAGATGCAAGAGAGCGGGCAGACCCCCTCAGTGCTGCCACGTTCTTCCTGGCCCACCTGCATCTCCACGCCTCTCCAGCCAGCCCGTCTCCCTTCCTCCTTACTTGCTCCCCTTCCTCCTGCCCCTCCGTCTGAGTTCTGCTCACCTAGACTTTGCCAGGGGGAGTTTCCTGCCTCCTGATTTTCTAAAAGGCACAGCCTCATCCATGAGATGGCTCAGGGAGCCAACTTCTGGCTAAGGGCACGTTGCACCTCTGTACAATATCCTAAGGTGCTGTTCACTGCTAAGGAGATGTGGCCTATGCCGATGAGGCCGGACCTTGAGGAGAGGCAGGGAGAAGGCTTTGTAACTCAGCCAGGACCGCTGATGAGCACCTGAGGGTTTCTTTCTACTGGTGCCAAGGCATTCCTATTAGGGCATCATTAGTTGTGTGGCTGGCTTTCGGGAGTGTAAGGTAGTATGGATGTAGGCAGGCTGCCGTGCTCACCTGCACACACGATCCTGTGCAGGGCAGGGGCTGGGCTTGGAAGGGAGAAAGAATGCAATGCTCCCGGTGTTCTACTAGCCCGGCTTCCATAACACTCAGCCTTCCTCATCTACAGCTGCCACTGTGTGCCAGGCAGGTACTCGCAGACCCTGGCGAAGCGCTCTGTCATTGGTTTCCAAGGGCTCCGGCTCTCCGGTTTTTTCCCCTCTCTCTCTGGCATCTCCTTCTCAGTCCCCTTTGCTGAAGTGTTCTGCAGCCTGTTCCTTGAATGTCGGTAATTCTCAGGATTTTGTTCTAGGCCCACTCCTCACTTTCCCTACTCCCTATAGGTATTCCCTATTGTTTCATCCTTGTTTCGTACCATTGTTTCATATGGTATTCCCTATATGCCAGTGTCTCCTTGGCTATCTCAACTGACATCTCTCAAATCTCCACTTCAGCCCTGGCTGGGTTCCTGACTCAGGTATCCAATGGCCTGTTTGATACCTTGAGGGTAACTAAAAAGAACTAATCACCTGCCCTGAACAGCTTCCCTGTTCCTCCTATTGGTTCTGTCTCAATGCAGGGTACCATCACTTACGGATGGTCCATGTCAGTAACCTGCACACCAGCCTTTGCCCCTCTCTCCATTAGCGCCTTCCCTCAATCCTGAAGCCTCAGCCATTCTCCATCCTCAGTATTTATTAGAGCATTCCACTTAGCTCCAACTGCCTGAGAGCAGAATGCTGCCGTCTCTCTCCCAGATTATTGCGGCCACTGCTTGCTCCTTCCCCTGCATTACTGTCTGCAGGCTAGTCCCCACATTTTAGCCTGAGTGATTCTTCTTAATGCAAACCTGATCCTGTTACTCCCCTGCTCAAAACTCTTCAAGTGCTCCCCAGTGACCTCGGGAGAAAGTTCAAATTCCCTAACATGGTGAAGTAGACTCTTCATGATCTAGCTCCTGCTGCCTTCTCCAGCTTCTTCTCTTCCATCCCCCACAACCTTTCCAGGCTGGCCTGAATCTCTTTCAGCTTCATCAAGTGTCACACTGTCTCTCATCTTAGGGATGTTCCCTTTACTTGGAGCCTCTCTCTTCCTCTGGCTAATTTATGCCTAACCCCTCAACGATGGAAACACTGCTGTGTTCGCACAGCGATGTCTCCTCCTCTGGATAGCTCTCCAGCACTGTGCAAGTCTACAATGCACGACATCCCCAGGTGCTTCCCAGCACCCTGCACTTCTGCCACTTCCAGGCAGACAGCATATTTTATGTGAATTTCCTGTTTACTTGTTTGTTTCCCTTTCAATATTGGACGCTCCATGAGGACAGCAACCACATCTGCTTAATTCATTCTTATCTCTGGGGCTTAAAACAGGGGCTTGAAGCTAGCAGGCATTCCATAAATATTTCTAGAATAAAAGAAGATAAGCATGTGAGCAAGTGTGTACGCAAAGGCAACATGTGTAAGTGAAGAGCACTGGACTGGAAGTCGGAAGTAAGATCAAATGCCTACCTCACCTCTTAGCAGCTGGGTCTCAGGCTCTTCATTTCTAGGATTAGAATGAGATGCCTGTCAGGGCTGGGTTGATGTGGAAAGGGTATGCGTGGAAATGTGTTTTTTGTGTGTGAATTACAATCATAGCCTGGAAGAGTAGGAACTCCCTGTAGGGAATGTGATGGACTGTGAGCTGGGAGTGTGTGCTGGAAGCAGTAACCACAGACAGTAGTTTGTCTCAGCAAACCAAAGGATTAGAAAGGATCTCTGCAAGTCAATATGGTCAAAGGCACTCACGATAGTTGCCAAGTTTCTCATCTTCAATGGGAATGAAAGGATGGGGGAATTGAGGGAAAATCTGACGTTAACTTCCAACACCAGTTCCAGAAAGAATCCCATCCCGCTGTAGTGTGTGT